TCATCAGAGAATGAGAGGAAAGAGGGTACAATATAGGAGAGGTAAGATGTGGAGTGATTCACTTTATAGCATCTCTTCTTGAACCAGCCATCTTTAGACTGAGGGGGAGAGAAAAAATACATGTACATGTACATGTACTATTATGTAGAAAATTTTTAAGGATATTTAGAATTAATTTAAAGAAATTTTAATCTTCTTTTAAGCAATTGCAGGCCAAGTTTCATTTAAAAAATTAAATTAGAAAATAGCATTTTAATGGCTAATTGGAAAACTAAGAGCTCAGTACATGTACATGTGTCTTTTGATGTGCTTGTACATAAATTAAGATTTAGTAAAACCATTTTTAGCTTCGTTAAAATTAATATATTTATATGTTAATATATACATATAATATACATGTGATTTGGTGTTTTATTGTTAAAGATCCATTACTAAATCCACTGAAAACTTACTTGATAGACAACTTCATAAAGGCAGCCATCTTTACCAGCGAGGAATACCCTACCAGTGCAGGTTCCCAGTACAGCAGTCATACTGACGTTATCTGATGGTAGGCAGAAGAGAGGCTCGGGGAGGAGGTGGAGCTCATTATGAGGATCAGTAGAGGTCTCTGAGAGAAAAAAATGTAATAAAAATTGGGGGTCAATTTGGAGCCATTTTTCTGAATAAAACCATGGGCAATATAGTACAGGGATTTTTTCAGAAAATGGCAATTTTTAAAAATGGCTGTAACTTGAAAAATTGAAGTCGGAATCAGCTAAAACTTTCAACAGAGTGTAAGGACATCAATATGTATTAGAAAATGTAATAAAAATTGGGGGTCATTTCTGAGCCATTTTTTGGGAAAAAACCATGGGCTATAGTACAGGGATTTTTTCAGAAATTGGTGATTTTTTAAAATGGCTGTAACTCAAAAAATTGAAGTCAGAATTAGCTCAAACTTTCTACACAGGATAAGAACATCAATATGTATTAGAAAATGTAATAAAAATTGGGGGTCATTTCGGAGCCATTTTTTGGGAAAAACCATGGGCTATAGTACAGGGATTTTTTCAGAAATTGGCGATTTTTTAAAATGGCTGTAACTCAAAAAATTGAAGTCAGAATCAGCTCAAACTTTCTACACAGGATAAGAACATCAATATGTATTAGAAAATGTAATAAAAATTGGGGGTCATTTCGGAGCCATTTTTCGAAAAAAACCATGGGTTATAGTACAGGGATTTTTTCAGAAATTGGCTCGTTTTTAAAAATGGCCATAACTTTAAAAAATTAAGTCGGAATCAGCTAAAACTTTCTACACAGCATAAGTACATCAATATGCATCAATCCTACTTTAAACTAAACATTATTATTAATTTATTATCAATTATCATACCATTAAAACTAACTCCTAGTATCACTATCTCAGTGGGCGTGGTCAGACAAAGAAGGTATCGTATGTGCTCCTGGAACACTCCCAGTTTAGGTACTACCAGTCCAACGGCTAATATCACCTCCTTGAGACCATCAAAATATGCTAGATCCTTACTAAAAAATAGATCAATAATTATTTAAAATGTTATAACAACAATCCTGCAGCTTAATTTTCTATGTAAACTTTGGAAAAATATATAAAATTTTGGGGTGAGTTTAAAGGAAAATCATGGGCTATATTATGCTATAATAACAATAATAATAATAATAAAAACAACATTACCCATCTTCATAGTTCCATAGGTATATGGTGCTGTCAATGGTAAGCCAGGCTCTCTTGATGACAGGCATCAGGCCCATATCAGAATTACACTGCATATCTGAACAAGAACATCATTAAGAATCATGACATTGGAATGAATAAAAATGAACAATAAATGGATGTACTGTATATAGATGCATACATATTACACATAATTACATGTACATTGTATTTTTAATGAATTGAAGTGTAAATTAAATATTCACATTACATGTACTGTATTTTCTACATTAAATGTGAAATTATATATTATACTGTAAAAGATGATATGCTCATTTGGCAATTCTTCCAAAAACACGATTGGCAGCTTTAATGTTAGCAGTTTGCTACATCTCATTAAACATTAGATACGTGAGCCAAATTAAATTCAATATAATTGATAACTTACTCCAAATTTAGTTTCTTCACCTTAATAAACCAATCCTATTATATGTACCTTGTACATGTACATGTTTAGTGTCTTAATAAACTAATCCCATTAAAAACGTATGCCCTTTACATTAAACCCATTAAACCTGTCCATATTAAATGTGCTTCAATTAAACATGTATTATTATTCTTGATTATGTATAATCAATATAAATAGTTACCATTTAAAATGTAATGTACTGGTTATACAATAAGCGATGACATCACTTATTAAATTATAATTATGTATATTTCATATTATATTCGTAAATGTACATGTACATGCATTATTAGGAGGATACTCTCAAATTCTTGGACCAGTTCCGATGGTAAAGGGGTATGGTCTACATCACCGATGAGTGGCATACCATCCAGTGATGGAAACAGAGACGAGAGAAAAGGATAATCGACATCCGACTGTCCACTTCCATTTGTGAGACCTATAAAAGATCACGTGATTAAGGGATGGGGTCACGTGATGACTTACGGTCCGATGTGACTCTAAGTAGGCCACTGAGGTCGTAGAAGCGTTGATCTGAGACCTGATACTTGTCTACCAGACCTCCAGCACTCTCCAGAGCCTCGTTACTTCCTTGAGCAGTAGACATAATTTAAAATGGAGAGAGGTGAGAGTTTAAGCTTTGGAGGCAGGGCGCACGTGGTTTATTAACAGGCGTGGCTACCACGCCTAGCCTTTAAATTGTCCCCGGGGAAAGTTAGATCTAATTTTATAGCGGGGTCAATTATGTGGTTTTGGGTGTGGCTCAATCAATCTGATAGGATAAAATTATATCCACTCTTGTTAGTAGTGTATAACTTAAGTAACCAAACTGATTTGTTAAGTTGTTATTATTATTATTAGTAAACTTTAAAGCACAATTAATAGCAAATGTGCTGTGGAATATCATATACATAATATAAAATTATCAAAAATTTATCACACCATGCACTTTTACAAAATAGACAAAAGAAAAAATTCAATACAAAAATAGTACTATAAAATATAATATTATTATAATTTTAAAAATTATGCTATCAAAAGACCCTCAGCTCCTTCTCTAATGGCAGTCATCAGAACATTATTGAACTGCTCATAACTTTCACACACAGGAAGACAGAGCTGATTGAAACTATTATAAAAAGAAATCATTAGAAACTTAAACAACCAGGTACCATATAGCAGGTTTATTTCGAGGATAATAATTTTCGTGAATGGCCTGTATCTGGAGGTTCACGGAGTTGATTTTCGCGAATTGCCCCTTTCCTGCCATCTTGTATCGTATTAAATGGAATTTAATTTCGAGAAATTTCAAAAATCTGCGAAAGTCATGAAATTTGTTACCCTCGAAATAAACCCACTATATCAGCGGTATTACCAATTTGGTAATACCTGGTTGTTGCAATATGCAAAGGGTAACTTAGCTGATGATAGTCTAGCATGCAACATGCATTGCTACCAGTAAACAAAACTTAGTTTCATGTACTTAGTAGTATCTATCTAGTTTCAGTTTACTATTACCATGTATGAGCATAAGGTAATCGATTTCCTGTCTCTCCACTAAGTAAAATCGTAAATTTTGATTGCAGCTCAGCAAACCCTCCAACAGGAACTTGAGAACTCCCAGTTACAAACTGTACAAGTCTGGCAAATTCTTCCTGAGATAACTGATCTACTGATGTCCAGAACCACTCAATAGTCTGTCCACTGACACTGGTAACAGTGTTCAAGCGAAGATCTTGTACACTCAATTCTTGAAGCCCACACATTAAGAGCTACATTTATAATGATATAAATAGCAATTTTGATTATTAATAATTATGACAACCTCAAGCTCATTCTCATCAAAAATGCTAAATAATTCAGTTGGTACCAAAAGGTTTAGTCCTTTTAGTGAGAGCAGAGATATAGAAAAGTCATAAACAGATACTTGACATAATACCTTTCATGAACTCATTTATTTCTTTTAAAACACGATCTCTCAGCCTGTATTCTGCCAATTTATTGAGGTAATGAATTTTGTTTGATTCAGTAACAGGAAGTTTAGCACCACCAGAAACTAATGGTACCAACTAAAAAGGGTATGAAATTAATATACATCATTATATTACAATGGTACAGTGTGCAAATTAAGACTGAGCTAACTTTATCCTTTTACATTAAGTGCATGCACATTCAAGAGCTTTTCACATGCAAGTATCAAAAAAGTTGTCTATTCTCTTACATTGCTTACATTGATTACACACTTACCCTGGGATTCATTGAACTACCATCAAACTCTTCCTCTGCAAATGTAAGATCCATGCCAAGATCAGATATGCTGCCATTTTTGATGCATTTTAT